TGTGGAGACACCACTTCTTAATGAAGTGAATGCTGTTCTAGCTGTGTTTTGGATGCAAACATGATCATTCTAGCAGGAAAAGAAAGAGGCAAGAGGATTTTAGTCCCTTTTTATCCTTCTGAAAACTAAATCTTCCTGATTGATGAATAAAATCTTTTGGAAAACACATTTGGACATCTCAGATCATCTCCAATTTTTTAATAAAAAAATACTAATATTAATGTTACTGAGCAACCTGATCTAGTTGAAGATGTTGGGGAGGGTTGGACTAGATGACCTTTAAAGGTCCCTTCCAACCCAAATTTGATTCTATGTCAATGTTACCTACATTATCTAAGCTCTACCCGAATAGAGCTTAAAATGCCTTTTCTGTTGGATATCGTGTAGCTACATACAGTTAATTGAAAATAATAAAATTGCACTACATTTTTTTTTCGATAAGAATGCCAGTAACCACAGATGTATTTTTAAGGCTGCACCTGGTCCAAGTACACAACTGAATAATTTCTAACAGACTTTTCGAGAAAGAATCTCATTAATATTTTCAGAAACCACAGAGTGGCTTGACGTTAAACCCCAGCTCATGTTAAAGCAAAGTTTTACTCAATATAATTAGATTGAGGTGAATGAGACTTACCAGTTGTCCAGGAAGAAGTCAAGAGAAATGGCAGAGGAGCCCTGAATCCTTTGAGTTTTATATCCTTTCTTGAACTTCCAGGAAGATGAGACAACCTTTGTGCATGAGGTCTTAATTACCTTCCAAACAATTTTTCCCGCATGTGTAACACTTATAATTACTATAATTATTTTAACATTGTTTACTGGCATTATTCAGTTTTCCACGGTACATACTGTTACATGCTGTGGGGTTCCCTTCGTGTTATACTGTTATGGTCTAAATCAATTGCTGATGTGATTCTACCACTTCTGTCTGTACTAACATGGGGCTGCAACTCTGCTCCACTTTGTTCAGCTTGGACTTAAACACTGACCAGCTGAGCAGTGGTTTGCAGACAGCAACTGGTGTATTGTCAGACAGATTATACAGCAGCTGTATCTGCTGCTAGGTGTGGGAATCAAAATCCATACCCCTAAATCCATGGTAGCATTCAGTTGGAGGCACCTTGGGGTTCCTCCCCGTAAGCGGAGTGGAAGACAGAATTTTGCAGACTGTGCATACCCCTTTTTTGTTCACAGTGAAACTGATTTGGTTATTTGCTTCCTGTCCTTTGTTTCACTGACTGTCGTCACAGCTTCAGCTGGAGGATGTCATTCTGCTTGGGGGTGCCCATTCCTACTCTGGGTACTGCCCAGCCGACGAGTCTCTGGCTCCAATCACCATGAGTGATCAGAAGGCTGAGAAACATAACCTCTGAAGGATGTCCACATATAGAAGAGAACTCTGGAAGGAGATCAGGTGATAATTTCTGCAGATAAAAGGTAAATGCCAAGGTGAAAGAATTTAGCTGCCATTTACACCTGCTGAGGACAAGAGTAGAAGTCATGGGCTGAGAGTGCATCAAGAGAGATGTAGGTTTGCGGAATAATTTTTAATGACGTGGCTACTGATGTGTAGGAGTTGCTGAATTTTGTGGAGCCTCACTGATTTCCCAAGGATTCAGGTGGATTCTCAGAGTCACACGGCAGCTGAAGCCGCCGCCTTAACCCATTTTGAAATGACTATGTTTGAATGCAAACAGAAATGCATTGGTTAATGAAAATGCAAAACGCCCGGAGTTGTCAAGGCCTGAAAACAACATCCTGTTTGTGAGAACAGCTAAGACACTTCCATCAAAAAATGCATATTCCAAATGTGCTATTAGCCCTGAGGTGTTTGTCTCAGATAACATGCTATTAATATTATAATGATAAAATGCTTTGCATGCATAAACCAGTAATGAATATTTTTGAAATGTTTTGACATTCCCTGTTGTGTGGAAACCTCACCTCATCACTCTCTAATTATCGGGATTATTTCCACCATCCTTTCACAAAAGACAATGACAAGTTCACACAAAGTTATCCAAAGAGCCAGACTCCAAACTCATAGCTCACGACAGAGGCTAACCCCATTGAGCTCTGTTACTGGAGATTGCTGGTAATTTATGTTAAAAAACGTTATTTCATATTGTTTACCAATTTCAGGTAGCTTATGGTTGTTTTGGTGACTTCTGAATCGATTTCTGATCCTACTCTTCTTCCTTAAAAATGAGAATAGTGCCCAGAAAAATGGGGATTCCCGTTTATGCCACTTTACCTGCAGAGCATCCAAATATCCCAAACTGAAAACTGATTTACACCTCCCAGTCTTCCTTGTAAGAAGAAAAGACAGAGAGGTTGCCATTTGATTTCTGGAAGTTATGATGCCTTCTGCACAAAAACGTCTTTGGAAAAGGGAGTAGAAACGCAACCCTAAATATTTAACACCTCTTAATAACATGGGCAATGATTTCTTTTTCTGGCTGGAGGATCCTGCACTAGAACTGCTTTGGAGAGCATTTGCATGGAAAGACTGTGCAAAGTAAGCTGAAAAAAAGAAAAAGCTGCTTTGTAGCCCACCCTGCCACTGTGCACCTTGGAGTAGGGCCCATCTTGGCTCTAAACACTCATTTGGTGGATGAAGGTAGTAATAAACTGTCCCTTCAGTGTTTTCTTCTCCAAGGCAAGCATCCCCAGCGCTCTCAGCCTCTTTCTTCTTGCACCCGGTGCCCTGACCATCCTGAAACCTCCACCAGACTCGCTCCTGACTGTCCGTGGCTCTTGTGCTGAGCGCCCAAAGCTGGACATGGAGGTCTGGATGTGGCCTCCTGAATGTCAGCTGGAGGAGAATCACCACTTTTCTCCTGACACTGGTTATGCTCCAGCTCAGACAGCCCAGCCTGCGGTTGGCTTTCACCGCCACAGGGACGCAGCACTGAGTCACATCACCTTCTGGGCCACTAGATCCCTTTTTTTTTTTTTTTTTTTTTACAGTGCTCATGACCTCTCCAGGAGCAGATCTCACCTACTAATCCATTTGCTGAGGGAGAACAGGGTCTGTTGCCAGAGCAGACAGCGGGAGGAGAGAGGGAACGAGAGAACATAAAAACCATCCTCATGCAGAGAGCTAGTAAAAGTTCAGGTGCCATTTAGTGGCTGCTTTAAGATATCAGGTTTTTATGTCGTCATGTCAGCGTAACCCCTCTATCAGGAGCAAAACTACAGAAACAGAAGCTCAGATTTTTAAAAGAAAACCCTTTTCTGCTGATCAATGCCATCATCCTCTAACTGAAGGAGAGTCTGGATCCTTTTGGGACCAAGAGTGACTGAGATCAGCAGAGCCTTTTAAACCATGCAAGTGAGATAAATGCAGGTGGGAGAGCTTCCCCTGGCCCATGCCACCCTCATGCCTTAATTGTGAACCTCCATCTCCCACCTATCCTAAGCGTGCTGGTGCCTGGGGTGAGCAAGGGTAGGGAGGAGCCAGGTTTTTAGTAGACCTGATATAAGAAAGGGATTGATTCCATGTGAGGTAGTCAGCTGAGACTGCAGTTTTGGGACTTACCTGTTTTGGGATCATTAGTCTGGGACGGGACGGGCCTTGGTCACCAGGTGGTGAGCAATTACACTGTGCATCACTTGTTTGTATATATTATTATCATTATATATATATATATGCATATATTAGTACTAGTAGTATTAAATTGTTCTTATCTCAATCCACGGGTGTCTTTCACTTTTTCCCTTTGGTTCTCTTCCCCATCCCATCGGCGAGTGGCTGTGTGGCATTGAGCTGCAGCCATCCTAACAGCAGGGTAGCAGAGCAGTGAGGGGAGGAGCTGCCAGGACTCCCTCTGCACCTTTAGATGGTGGCAGAGAGCTTCTGCTTCCCCGTGCTGCCCCAGTAGCTCCTCCTGGGAGAGACTGTGGGGTAGGGCAGGTGTGCAAAGACATGTGCTTTGGGGCTTTGCCTCTTTACATATATACGCTGGGAAACCAAAATATTGACCCAGCACGAGAACTGTTTCCTGCTGTCTATGAAATTGTTCTTGCCAAGGAACAGATGTTTCCCCTCTGGTTGCAATTTTATAACCACAGATTATTGATGCTGATCATCCATCCTATGCAGGCAGGGCCAGCTCAGGGTCATAGCATCAGAAGAGACCTTCTGTTGCGTCCTCTCCCCCTCCTGCTACACCAGGGACTATCCCACACAACCCACTTCAGAGTCTGCTCAGCAGTGGTTTGTCCAGGGATAAAATTGCAGAGCAGGGGACACCTGGGAGAAGCTCGGCCAGGTCCCAGGACTGAAAGGTCTCCTGTGTGACCCACGTACTAACGGGTGTGCTCCCCTGTGACGCTGGTGTGACCGAGCTAAGCCTGGATAGACAATAAACACCTCTGAGGGCTGCTAATGAGTCTCATTACTTTAGTCAAGCCTTTTTCTAAATACCACCCTGTGCTGCTTCCTTTATTGCGTCTATTGGTAACTTTTCAACAGCAAGATCTGCTCCCACAGATGGTAAATCTAGTCCTAAAAGCACGATTACTGTCTTTATTTTACACAAAGGAGTGCTATAACAACAGGGAATAGGGTTTTTTTTCCAATAGTAGGTATTAGAAACAGTTTAAAAAAATGGAAAATAAATCAGACAGAGAGCAGGAATCCAGCTGCAACTTGAGTTTAATATGACTGATACAATCTACAAATATAGTTGATCCAGTAAGAGTAAAAACATCTGGGGTTGTGGACACTGTGACAGAGTCATGTTGGTTTGAAGCTCAAAGCCTGAGCACCTGCTCAGAGTTACTTAACTTCTCACTAACATCTTTTCTGTTGCAGGAATAACTGGTGTGGTCACAAACAGGCAATGCACTCTATGAGCTTAACGTGGATACAATAAGGGGTAAAATAAGGCCAAAGCTTCTCAGGGGGTTAGGAATAGGAACAGTGGGGAGAAACATAACCTCAGACCTCAGCTACATAGCCTGCTGCTTTCACAACTACTTCTTTATCTCCTTCACCACAGCCATTTTGAGGCACAGCGACTCTTCTTGGAGTGGCTCGAGCGTTTCGCCCCCCCGGCGTGATGCTGCGTCGAGTGGTGGGTGGCCCGTGGGTAGAGGCACTTGGACTTGCTCAGGTGTTGTGTTGAGGAGCTCTTGTGCTTGACTCCCTCCTGCGGCAGCGAGCACTTGGCTGCCTGTTTCTGCGGGGAGCACCCCTTTACCCCCTGCCCAGGGGGGCACTTGGGTACGTCTGGCTGCGGCGGGCACTTGGTCAGGCACTGCTGCGAGGAGTAGGTGGTGATGCACTCCTGCGTTGGGTAGCCCTTCATGCACTTCTGCTGGGGGAACCCGCCCACGTACTCCTGCAGGAACGACTGCGTCCTGCACTGCTGCGGGGGGCACTCGGTGACCCCCCGCAGAGGTGGGGAATAGCCGCTGGTCAACCCCTGCGGGGACTGGAGCTCAGTGCCGTACCGCCGCAACGAGCATTTGGATATCTTCTGCGTCCTGCATTCGTCCTTGCAGGAGGACGAGTATTTGATCCCACATGGTGGGAACTTGAGTTTGCCCGGCTCTGGGCACCTGGGTGCGCATGGTGGGAGGCTCTTGGCCATACGCTTCTTCTCAGGACGGCTGGTCTCGCAGGGCTGGAGACTCTGCATCGTGCTCAGCTTCACGCTGGGCTTCCTGCAGGGCAGAAGGCGAGTGGTCTCGCAAGGCTCGGGGTACAGCAGGACACGCTGCACGTAGGGCTGAGGAGACAGCAGAGAGGTCTGGGTCACACGTGGCTGCGGGCACACGTAACTGAAAGGCTGCGCGTAGCTTTGCCATCTCGGCACCGGGCTCTTGATCACACTGATGGGGTGGCACGTGGTACTGCACGCGTCGGACTGGGGCGTGCGCTGCTGGATGCCCTCGGCAGTATAGCCCGATCCTGGCACATACAGGTACTTGTACTGCTCCCCATAATAGTGCATGGTCACACAAGGCACTTACGCCTGAAAGAAGGAAAAAAGACAGACAGTTCATGTAGGCATTGGCTACTTTTTGGTGATGCAGGACTCAGGGTTTTCCCGCAGGCTTTTCAACACAGCCAGCCCACACCCTAGCTCTTGTGAAGGTCAGAGGCTCTCGGTGACTCAAGACCAGGCTGTGATTACCCGGGTGAGGAGAGGAGAGTCTGTTCTCAGCTCATGCCCCCACACCCTTCTCTTCAGAGCCCAGAAACAATCATTGTTGATGGGAGCCAGGCAAACTGGGGAGTTTTCATGCCACCCTTCAAAGACCAGCTTAGTGACCATCAAAGCATCTCACCCAGGAGAAGTGACACCATGACCCTCTGTCTTACTTCCTGGAAAACTCCTGTGTCCCCACTGGGACGTCTTTTCAAATTTACATCCTGAAACTCCCAAGCACCAGAGATGAAAGGCAAGCCAAAATTAAAGGTGTGTCAGTGCTGTAATACTCAGGTGTGGCTGCAGTTCACGTGGGCAAACCCAAGCTGAGGTTAAATTAGCAAGTTGAGGGTAAGGATGGGTTTGTGGCAGCACGGAGCTCAGCACGTACGACCTGCCTGCCGATTGACGGTCCTGCAGGGGTCTGCTGGGCTGGCAGCGCTCAATTACAGGCTCTGAGATTGCTACCATAGCATCAGCTTCGCTGCCTCTTCAAACCTTGCCCTCCTACCTTCATACTACTGCGTAGCCATCTTCAGGAAAAGAGGAAATACAACAGGATTGTTCCTGAGTATTTGGTGAAACCATGACAGGAAAGGAGAAGCTACCAAGGCAGAATCTCAGCTGGTGTTAACTCATCACATTTCATTGAGTTGAGAGAGTTACACCCATTTAAAGCAGCCTCCAGTCCTGCACTACAGGCAAACAAAACCATAGTGTCCTGATTTTGTTATAGTAACCCCAAGACCCACTGTCAAAACACCTGGCATAGTAGCTCTGAGAGTGAAACCTCATCCTGGCAGCCCCTGTACCAGCAGCACGAAGGGGAGTCCAGCCAAGATCACATCCCTGGGAAAGAGACCAGGTGGCACCATCCGGAGCTCCACACTTTCCTCCTGAAACCGCTGTGAAATGTCTCACTTTGCCTTGGCCCTGGGAGTCATAGGAGAAACCATCCCACCTCATTCCCCACTCCAGAAAACACCAATTTAAAGGAGTTTTCTGAGTCTTTAACAGGATTATTTTGTGCACAACAGGTACTGGAACCACTGACACGTGAAAGGTACTTTGATTGAAAATGTTTTTTTCATTTCAACATTGTCTGGAGATTAAGGCCTATAATTAAACAACTGTAAAGAAACTGCATTGTCTAAATATCCCTAATTCTGTCCGTAATTACAAATGTCCATTTTATCTTTCAAAAGCCCATCACTGGGTGACTATTAGCAATAACAAAGCCGTGTTACTATCATTCAGAAAACTTATTATCACTGCAATTATAATAATCATCAACTAATAAAAACAACCCTTTGAAAAACAATGATAGGAATTGCTACTACTACGTGTACAATGCTAAAGTATCTGGTGATACTCATCAAGACAAAAAGCTTCTAAAGTAGGAGGGATTATTTGCTTCCAGGGGGTTGTTTGCATCTCAGACTTATTTTTATCATTGTTAGCTTAGATAGAAATTTTAACACGTTCAGATTTAGCCGGAGAATCTCCCTGCTGACTTTCACATTGGCACTGAAGTTGGTCAGCTTCTTACTTATTATCTGAAAAGTTGCTGTGCTTAAATTCCATAATTTCTTCACGCCACTTCCTTTAGAGGAGTTGCCTTTTCACATTCAAGCTCACATCTGACTCCCGCCAGCGTCGAGCCCTTTATGTAGTCAGTAGCCTCCTTTGGACTAGAACTAACAGAAAGCGTAGAAAAGCCCACAAATCCCACTCCTGACTTCACAGTCCATCTGGAAGTGCTTTCCCAATATTCTTCAGTCTAGCACGGAGGAGATGCTCCAGCTGTTAGAGCCACGCATGCCGATGCTGAAGGCAGCATCCCCGAGGATGCTTCTCCGCGAGTAGGCAGGCAGGACCTCTACCTGCTCCGGCCACCCAGGAATAAAACAGCATTTCAGGAGCTCCATTAAAAGCCAGACTTACCCACTTCATCAGTGAGAACAACCGGAGAGAAGTGCCGAGGAGAGCCCCACGATGCCAGAGCTTTTATACAGTGAATAAGTGCCCTGGGGGAGCGGGGCGGTTTGGCTGGGTGATGCTCTAATTGTCTGCCCGTCCTGGCTGAGCCACGTGCAGCTTCGTGCCGGCGGGAACGGCTGTCCTTGCTCTGCGGGGCTGCCATCGCCACCCAGTACTGCTGGGACATCTGGCTCACGTGTGAACTCCGTGGAAGGGAATCTCCTGAGCCAACATGCTGGATCAGGGATGCTCCTGGCAGACCAAGGACACCGTGCGTTGCTCATGGCCCTCACACTACGCATCCCCGTGTGCGGTGCCAAAGCGTCCCCGCCTGCCCGTTGCAAATCCAAGCCAGCTAAAACGCACCTTTCCACCCAGAAAAAGCTCGCAGTGGAGACCACCAAAGGGACTGCCCAAGGGACGACTCATTTCCATGGGAGCTGCATGCAAAAGTCCCTTCGGTGCCTTCGAAAACACCGTCCAGGAAGGATTCTTGGTGACTCTTTGCAGACCATAATTACTGTGACATGCAGACTTCCTTCACTTACACAAGGAACCCAGGGAAGAGATGGATGATTTGGCCCGAGAAAGCCTTGGGCTAGTGGCAAGACGGCTGCTAAGAAGAACTTGCCACAAAGTGAATAACCTGCTGAAAGAGGTGACGCTTTTCCGGCACAACAAAAGGGAGAAGGGACAAGCAGGAGCCCTGGGGTGGCCCAGGCAACACTGGGCTTGTGTGCTGAAAACACAAATCACATTTCCTGCTCTGCCACACACTCTCTGCACCACTCATCCCTCCCTTTGTTCCCTGTTTATGCCACGAATAAACCCAAGGGAAGATGAACAGTGGCATGAGCATAAATACCGACAGGGAATGCATTTTTACATAGTCATATCTGCATAAGCAAAGGCCCTGGTGGTTTTCTTTTTCTCCTTTAATGCGAATCTGACACTTATGAATCGGGTTCCAGCACGCTGAGAATTTAGGTGAGATCTCACACAATGAAATAAAAAGAGGTGAAATAAGTTAGCTTTTAATGGAGTAGGTGGAAAATTTCTCCCCCATATGAAGCGCCAGGGATGCTGCTGGCTTGCCATCCCTGGAGGTATTTAAAAGGTGCGTGGATGTGGCACTTGGGGACATGGTTTATTGGTGAACTTGGCAGTGTCACATTTACAGTTGAACTCGATGATCTTAAGAGTCTTTTCTGACCTAAATGAGTCCATGATTCTATAATTTGAAGTAGAATATTGATCTACGGTTTATGAACCACTGAGTAAATTTTCTATTCCTGTTTCCACCAGAAAATCCAGAAGCCTGAGATAAGTTTGCTATTCACATTTCTGATTTTCCAAACAAAATAAAATCTCCCCCAATATCACAGAAAAAAACATAAAAGTGCACGTTTTCCCAGCTGATGTCAACATCTCGAGAGCTACAAAAGCCAAAGGGAAGAATGTTTTCCCCAGCTTGTCTTATTTTCCGCATCTGAAGACAAAAGCACTGAATCCAACCTGGATCTCTTTACCTTTCATTGTGTTTCACTCCTTTGAACTACAACGCCCTTTTTAAAGTTAAAAGATCTGATCTGAGATTTTAGGAATCAAGCTGGCGTCAGAGAGCAGGTAAGCAGATTAATACAATTTTTATAAGCTCCATAAATCTGGTTCCTGGGTAAGTTCCAGATCAAGTAGCCTTCAAGTAACGCTAATATTCAATTTAGTTCTTCCGGTGCAGGTAGCAAAATATTAATCCGATGATAACATCGTGCCCTGTCATCCAAATGTTCTTAATTAGCATCTGTAAAGTCCTTTCATCTCAGAGAGACGCACAGTGCCGCATGGGACATCATTGTGGGGCTATTATTATTCCCAATTAAGGACGGGGGAAACCGAGGCACACTGCACTGCGGTCACTTGGTGGCACAGCATGAGTCAGAACCAGGGTCAGAATCACAACTCCACCACAGCCAACTTCAAAACGAGATCCTTGCTCTGGCAGCCACTCCACCCGTTGTGAGATGGGGTCCTGCACCACCCAGGTACCCACCACCCAGGAGGATTTCCCTGACAATCCCCTGGACTCTGGCTCCTATGAGAAAGCCACAATGATGTGACAACTCCTCAGAACGCCACACCGTTGCTCATGTCTTGGTTTTAAAGGGGACACAAAACATTGGGTTGTGAGAGCACCCCTGCTTCGGCAAGGTGGTAGGAGGGCCACGGTCCCTGCTGCTCTTGCATGCTGCCTCTCCAGGGCCGAAGCATGGTCACTGGATGTTCAGGAGGAGGTATGAAAAGGGTCTGCTCTCTCATCACACCCAGGGAAGAAGCCAGATGCCACCTTGACGTTGCTAGATGCTCAAGTCTTAGACACCTCCTTCCCTTCGGTAGCACCCCAAGGTCATGGAGCCAGGGTGGAGCAGGGCAGGATGCAGGGCAGCGTCCTGGCCCCAGCCACACCTTCCTCCTCGTCTTGCGACACTTGTTTTTGCCCTCCAAATATGGATGATCTACTTAGTGTGAGCTACTACTCATTGTCCTAATGATAGGGCATATAACAGGAATTTCATATTTTTCAGACAGGAGTTTACTATATTTAATAAAGAAATACCACCAGAGGGCCAAAAGGCAAGATATTTAATCTGAGGTCAGACAGCTATATTTATTTAAGTATATATATATATGTATAATGTAAGTATACATACATATATATGGTTTATTTTCAATACAGTGTAGAGTGCACATCTTCAGGCAGCATAAGGAATATAGTTACTCGCTTTTATAGCTCAAACATTTATAAAATAGTTGTGCTACAACTTTGAGTGTGATTTTGGAGACTTTCTTTTGTTTCAAGTTGTGTTTTCAATATTAATTAAAGCAATCAAGTGAATAAAAATGTTCGTGTATAAAATTTCAGCAAGGACCAGCTTTACCGAGCTGGAAATCCTGTCTCGGTTGGGGACTCTTCCAAAGTCAACGCAGAGCCAGTGTTTTAAAGCAGCAGGGATTTCTGGCCACCTTCCGAAATGAAGGTTGGAAGGTTGTTGGAGTAAGAATCGTTCACTGTCTGCTTAGCAAATTTGCGTTTGGCATCCAAATCCATGAGTGAAAATAGCTGTTATGGAGAACTCGGAGCCTCGTGGAATCCGAGTTAACCTGAACATTGTCTCCCAAGGCCAGGACTAAGCTTGGAGCTGGGCACAGGCCAGCCCTCCGCTGGCCGCACTGCTAGTCCTCTTGATGCTGTCATGATCTGGACTCTTTAGACATTTCTTTTTTTTTTCTTTTCTTCTTATTTTTTTTTAAATCACTATTTGTTCCAATTAGGTGAGAATTTAATTGCATCCTGCTAAACTATGCCTTGTAGCAGATCAAGGTACCAACCACAGGCACCGGGAGTGCAGCCGTAGAAATAGTGTCACACTCTGACCCAAAGCAGAGTTGAGCTACAGGGGAAGTACAGGAAAACAGAGATAACGCAGACTCAAGTGATAAGAACGAGCAGGCAGGTGGTAGGAGGAGATAAATAACCCCTGCCCAAAGCTCTACCTCCATCCTTCTCCGTGGACCTTTCCTTCCCCTACTCCTTTTCACCAGGGCCATTTGGGTGCAGAGCAGTACTTTTTAGAGTGACTTGAAATTTTAACTCCACCCGACTGACATTGCTGCTGTGGGACACACTTGGTGGCACACTGCTGCTGTGGGACACACTTGGTCACACACTGCTGCTGTGGGACACTCTTGGTGGCACACTGCTGTGGGACACACTTGGTGGCACACTGCTG